AGAAGATTAAAAGATTAAAATAATCGAAGTTCGTTGACTATTTTTCTCCAGTCTATGATCATGTTGTCAAGACAAAATATAAGATGACACAACTGTTGAATCAATTTAAATAATGAAGTGGAAATATGAGGTAGAAATTGAAGTTCTATTAAGAGAACTGTTGAGATGAAGTTTCATCAAGTATTGCTTGTATTTGACTAAGTGATATTAAATTGTTAGAATGATTTTTAGTTGAACTATCTAAGTCGGTATCAGCTATATAAAACTTAATATTGGGAAATTTATGTATTTGAGATGTAATAACTGATTCAGAAGTATAATAATGTCTATGTATAGGTGTACCATAATACTCAACTGATTAATGAAAAGATGATAGACTGGAAATTAATTGTTGGTTTTATTGAGCTTTTCTTCCCGCTTTCAACCAGTTGTTTCTTGTAGCACCTATCAAGTTATTTGACATGTTTCTTCACTGCGATTTAGAAAACATCGATGAAGATTAGATTGTGATTAATTGTATGAATAATACAAATTATTACTAATAGTGAGTTAGTTCACTTGTGGAACTGCTGCCTTCCAGTAGAACTGGAGGCTGCAACAGAGAGTTCGATGACATAGTAGATGTTGATGATAAAGAATGAAGGTAATATGATGCGTAAGAATAGGAAAAGTTATATATATCTGAAAGTCAAAATATTTTATGTATAAAAGCCATTGTGACAATAAATTAATACATTAGTTGTTGGAGTCCAAGAAAAAAGATTCTAAATACTAAATCATTCTATTTTATTCATTGTTTCTCTCACATCTCAATCTTATCGGAGTTTCCTGCTAGAGTTGTAATGTATTTCTACAGCGCTATAGCAATACATTATTACGACAATAGAAATTCGTATTTCATCAACGAACGATTCACCTCAGTCGGAAAAGTCAATGATAACCTCTATTGTTTCCTCAATTTTAATGATAGTTAAAATTGAGAAATGATGAGACGTGATTAAAAAAGGAATCATACTTACGAATTATGTATTGCTGTTGAGGTTGTTATAATAAATTTAACAAGTAATGTAAGTTATCATTAATAAGATAATAAAGATTTTTAATCAATAACTATATGTCGTAAGTCACTAACGTGTACTTGCGACTCTATTTTCGTTTGCCTATCTTGAACTATATAAATATGATGGTAAGCTTTCTTAATTGTTTTGTGTATCCACGAGAATAAAGGATCCAATTTTCCTTTGATATCATGACTTTTTGTTAAGACTTTATCACTAACATTATAATGAGGATCCAAACGGTTTTTATCGTAATATACTTTGTTCTTCGCATGTTATGGGATTATGTTGTTTTCTGCGGCTTGATGGTAATTTTTTAATATTTTCTTCAATTGTTCGAAATAATCATTGAGCTTTACAAATGAAAAATAGGATGATTTTGTGTGAATAGGAAGACGAGGTGGACGCCGATAAAGTAATTCATAAGGTGAATATTTTGTTGCCTGATGAACCCTGGCATTATATGCAAAGACCACCGCTTGTAGATATTCATCCCAATTATTATTTTCAGAATCTTCTAATTTGGATATTTGTGGAATAAAGGTACTATTAAATCTTTCCATAATACCACCATTTGTTTGTGGATGATATGGTGTCCTATAGATATGACTATATCATATTAATAAATGCATAGTTGCCATAAGTTGATTATTAAAATCGGATCCTTGATCACTAATAATTACAGGAGGAATACCATACTTACAAAAATATTCATTAAATATAACTTCAGCTGTTGTTTCTACTGTACAGTTACATACGGCAATAGCGGTTATGTATCGGGTGAAGTAGTCAATTGTAACTAAAACATACTGATTTTCACGGGGTGTCCTTTTAAGAGGACCACAATAATCTATGCTTGTAAGTTGAAATGGTCCATCAGGAGGTGAAATAGGATGAAGTTGTCCATATTTCTTCTGACGACTAATATTGTATTGCTGACATAAATGACAAGATTTAATATGTTGTTTAATGGAATATTGTATGCTGGGTCACCAATAATGATTTGTTAGTTTATTGTAAGTACGATCTATAGAACAATGACCTTTCGACATAGAATCATTATGGCATGCATAAAGAAGTAGTATAATAATTAAGCATGACAAATAAATTACTTTGATTTTAGTTTTAGAAAAAAGTTTAGGGTAGAATTAATTTATAAAGAATATCATCTTTTAACACGAATGATAAATTATGTGGATTTAAGCGCAATTGATTAACAAGTTTTTGTATATTCAGATCTTTCTTTTGTTCATCTTTTAATTTCATTACGTCGAAATGATTAGAGGAAAATTTAGATGACATATGCGCTTTTGGTAGAGTATCTGTGCTAGAATTAAAAATATAATCATGTTCATTTAACATAGTATTATAAACAGGTTTTTCTGCTTGTTTAAGTACGTTTTGATTTTTTTGTGGTCATAAGACCATAGTTGCTAAAACTTTACCTATTGAGGATGCTACTTGTTCAGGTTCATTCTTACTATTAAGTCCATACTCTATATCAAATAAATCATCATCTTGTTCACGTGAATATTTGGATAAATAATCTGGTGAACAATTTCGGCGACCACTAATATAAATTACTTCTTCAATATTCTATTCCTGAATTAAATTAAAAATTCTATCAACTCTTGCATTATTAACAGTTTTAGTCATAATATGGCATAAAGAACAATGGTCTGTTATTATAGTAATAATACGACCTAATAAAAGTGGTCTCATACGAACAAAACATTTATATATTGCAAGAGCTTCCTTTTCAATTGTACTCTATTTTCGTTCGTATAGTGCCATTAATTGCGAATGATAATATAAATTGCGTATCTGACCATCAATATCCTGTTATAAAATGCGTTCTATATCTATTTCACTGGCATCTATTGTTAATATTACTGGTTTATCATCAATGCGATAATGTAAAAATATACTTTCAAATATAAGTATTTGTTTAAGTTGTTAAAACGCTCTCGATTGAGCAAATTTTCATGTAAATTTATGAAGATTATTTTTAGTAAGGGTAGCATTAGAAGGCATTGGTGTAGCAGCAGTAGCAAAACTCGGTATACATTTTCGGTACCACCTTACAACGCCAATAAATTATTCGCCTCCGATAATGAATGGCGTTCTTTGATGTTAAGAGTGGCTTTCATTTTTTTCTTCATGGGAGTAATTATGGTTTTCACTAACTGTATGACCGAGATAATTTATTTGTGAAACTAGTAATTCAAATTTTGGAGGATTTAGAACAAAACTTCGGTCAGTCAAAGGCGGCCAAAAGTATTTAAAATGAGTAAGATGGTCTTCATAGGATTTTGAGAAAACAACAATATCATCGAGATTAACAAGTAACAGCTGATGGCACGATTTTAAAGTATTTGTCACAACCTTTTGAAATGTAGACGGTGAATTTTTAAGTTCCATAGGAAATACATTAAATTGATAAAGCTCAAAAGATGTTACAAAGGCGTTTTTTTCTTTATCAGTTTCATTTATTGGAATTCGATAAAAACCTTATTTGAAATCTAATTTTGAAAAAGATTTATAACGTTGCCCTAGCTTTCTGGTAGTATCTTCCATGCTTGGTAATGATGAGGAATCTTTGATGGTAATCAAGTTTTATTTTTTATAATCAACAATGAAACGATATGTATCATCATTTTTATTGATTAACGGGATCGGTAACATAGTTGTGGAAAGTTTTATCATTGATTAAACCAAGTGAATCTAGTAACTCGCCAATAATTTGGCGACACTACATGGTTTAGTCAATTGACTAGAAATTTTATTATCATGATGTGTAATAAAATAACGACATAAGGTACCCAATGCATGTACCTAGGCTAATAAATTGTGAGTGAAATGAGATGTTAGATAAAGTTATATGAGAAAAATGATTATAAAAATTGAGTTATTTATGTGAAGAAAGTAATGAATTATATTGAGAAAACTTAGAATGAGGCATAAATGGCGAACAAATAAATGAAATATGGACAGAAGCTTTAACAGAGACTTGATTTAGATGAAATATGTGTATGATTAGATAAAGTGACAGAAATTAATTTGGTTTGGACATCCTGGTCAATGTTCATTTTGTATTGGTTATTGTTACATTCGATTGAAACTATCTGTTTTCGGACGTCAAATTTAAGATATATAAAGTTATATAATCCATTCCTATAATTACATCAGTACAGAAACTTTGAGCAACGTGTACTTGTATTTTAGTAATTTTACTTGCGAATTGTATGTGTAATTCAACGATACCTAGTACCTGAAATAAGGCTATATTCCATCGATTAGAACAAATGAATAAGGTTTTTTTGTTGATGTAAGTGCATTGTCTAATTTTTCGTAAAATTTTTTGATTAATAAATGTAGTAGTTGCTCCGACGTCAATTAATAAAATGCATTTTCTGATTATTAACTAATATGGTGACAAATATTAAGGATAAATTTGATGGATTTCGATTTTGTTTTCGGAAGTCAATACCATCTTTCGATAACTCTGGTATTAAAAACGGGTACAAGCGAATGCCTGGGGTCCCATTTCATTGCACTGAATGCAAAATTTACAAGACAAAGATGGTTCGGTTGAAACAGATGAGGTTGATAAATTTGTAGCGGTAATATTATTTACATGGTGTTAACGATTATTCTTATTGTTGTCAAGAGAACTTGGCCTTGGTTGATTACTAGATGAGTTAAATTTATGATTGAAGTTAGATCGTTGTTTATTAGAAATAAATTGAGGAGAGGATTCTACACGTTGATTTGACGAATATCATGACGCATTTCGTCGTAAAGATGAGCTAGATGGTACAAATGATTGAGACAAATGAGAGTTATAGTTGTTTGTCGAGTAATTATTACCATTATTACTAGTGTTTCTATTATTATGGTTATTATTATATTATTATAATCATTAAAAGACGTTTTTTTTTATTATATAGTGGAAGAATATTTGTAATTAGTATTTAATGATATTATGTTTGTACGTGTTATTGCAGATGTTGTTGGAATACCCGAGTTATGATTAGTATTAATAGCTGCAGTATTGATATTTGATAATTGAAAAAATTCTTCAATTTTTTTAGCATATTCAAGAAATTGTTTTGTTGTTGTTGGTTTTTTTCTTCGTATTTCAAATTGCATGTTTAGCCTAGCTTTATTAAGAAGACTTTTTAGCTTGATGGATTCACTCATTGTTGGATCAACCTCTGCACAAAGTGTTAAAACTTCATTATTAAAACTACAACTAGGTTGATTTATTCCTTGAGTATACGATTCAAGTTTCTTAAAAGCTAATTCTTCATAAAAAGGTGAAATAAGTACTTCTTTTAATTCTTAAACAACAAATATTTGCCATGGAATCAATGTTATTTTATTATTTTTATACCAACGAAGAGCCTCTTCTCTCAACGAATATGGAATTAAATCTAATTTATGAGTATCTGAAAGCTGAGCCATGTCAAAATGATGTTCGAGATCTTCGAGTCATAGTTCTACATCATCTTTACCACCTTGAAAGATTTTTGAATTTTTTTTAGTAAATTATCTCCTATGACTTTGCGAAGTACATGCGGTGTTTGATCAAGATCATTATTAGTTATATAGGTATTTTGGAAATGAGTAATAATTTATTGCATTTTGGGTTCATCGCCAGCTAAACTGGCGGCTTCCATATCAACAAGCGCTGTAAAACGTAGTACCGGACGTGGTGGTAAATCATCAGCTAGATCAACGCTACTAATTGTCGACCTATGTTGATTTTCAAAGGAAATAATTTTTTGTGTTGATGAAGTTTGAATGAAACTACTTTGATGTAAAGATTGAGGTAACAAATAAGGTTCAGATCGATGCGGATTAAGATTAGTAGTATCGTAATTAGTTAATAAAAACTCATACAAACCACTAAGTGATTTTATTTTATTTCTGTTTCGGAAATATTCATGCTTCGCATCGCTGCCAATGATTAGTGATACGACGGCAAAGCTTGTTTTCGTGAAATTTTAAAATGATTGCATTTATGATCGGTGACATATAACCATTCGATTACGTTTTTCTGTTTCGAAAGCCACATCAAATTATGTAAAATGAAAGCATCGAAAGTATTCTCATCTTCATTTGCACTATTGTCCGATTCGGTATTGGAAGATTTTTTTTATTATCGACTTGCTTTGGTTGACGTGGGACAGGAGTAATAGATTTCCTACGATTTTTATCGATAGTAGATGTAGCGGAGGCTTCTTGGTCTTCTGGTGTTTGTTTAGAGAATTCAAATGAAAGTTCTTTCAATTGAACGGAATCGATTAAAGTGTTTTCATCAGTCATTATGTGCTTATATATAATTATGATATGTGAGCGAATTTATATGAATTAATATAGATATATTTTTGAAAAAGAATGTAAGTTTACATGTGCGTATGAAAACAAATCAATATAGTTGTTTTTTTTAATCATTCAAGGGGTTTGATTTACTCAACAAGAATAATTATCAAATCAAGAGGATACGAAAAAGAAAGAGAAAAGAAATAATGCCCTTATATATATATACATGCATATATATGTATGTAAGGCATGGCAAAAAAGTTTACGTCATTTTTTCTATCAATGTATTTTTGCAACTGTTTGAGCGAATTCAATCAATAAAAAGTCATATTAAAGAGCACTTAAAAGTGCACTTATGGTGTAAAAATAACGGTTCTAACTCAAGTGATAAGATGGATATAGATATGAGAATATCATTGACGAATTTTAGAGGTGACTTTTTTATATATTTAAAATTACAGAACTACAATTTGTTTTCTTTTGTGACGAAGCCGACGAGAAAAATATCCGTGCGATAGTAAGAGTAACGTTCGCTTTATATTTCTTCACACAACAAATCGTCCGCTTCACACAAAGAATATACGCTTCCATAAGAAAGATAGACAATCAATGGCCACCAAGTCAATAGGTGGAAGAAGTTAGATGATGATTATTTATTTTCTTACATTCTATGCAGACGAAAATTAAAAAATGGGTAAAGCAAGGAAAGAAAGATTACGTTTCAACAAAAATGATTCTTTAGCACCAGCTAAAGATGAGAAAATAAGTCTTACACCTAAACAACTGGACAATTTGATCATTCGTGTGCGCATCAATCAAATGAAGCAAGATGGAATTTAACGTAAAGAAATTAAAAAACGATTAAAATGTACATATACTACTATTACAAAATGGAAAACTATTGGTTTTGATGATTCCACAGCATTTCTTGGTCGTATTCGAACAGGTAGACCTGAAGTTTCAAGAAAAATTGAAAAGGCCGCATTGAAAAAAAGACAAAACAAAAATTTTAGTTCAAGAAAAGCAGGGCTTGAATTGAATATAAGTCATCAAACTGTGAAAACTATATTATATGATGCTGAATTAAAATGGAAAGAGTTAGACCAAGAGCAACAAAATTAACTGATTATCATAAAAAGGAAAGATTAAAATTTTGTAAAACATAAAAATCAAGATTTGTCGTGGTGGAACAAGATTTTAATTACTGATTCAAAAATTTTTTTGTTGGAAGGTGGTCGTAATCCAAAACATCATAGACGATGGGTGTTTGATAGTGAAGAATTGGATTTATGGGAGGTCAAAAAATTTTCAAAAGGTTTACATGTTTATGGTGGTATGACAAGTAAAGCATTAACACCATTGATTTTTATTAATGGAAACATTAATGGTGAAAGATATGTAAATGAGATTTTACCTATTTTAACTGATGTGCAAGGAAGAACAAAAGAAACTAATGATATTACAACAACAATATTATTTGATGATAATGAAGACTGGATATTCGAGCAAAATCATGCAACATGTCATGATACTAATATTGTTCAAGAATATTTAACTCAAAATGTTTCTGATTTTTTTTGGTAAAGATGAAACTCCTGCAGAAATGGATGATTTATGGTGTATTGAACGCATATGGGCAGTTGTAACTAATAGAGTTTATGGAGAAGGACAAGATCAGTCAAAATCTTTACATGAATTGGAAGGACGAATAATCAAAGCACGGAAGTCATTAGATTCAAAAATCTTAAGAAAAGCCGTACATCAAATGCCATTAAGAATTAAAGAAATCATAAACAAAAAAGGAGGTAGAGTTACTAGGTTTAAACAACATTGTAAATGTCATTTTTGTGTAGAATAAATATGTATTTCTTTTTACTGTATAGTTCTCCTTTCTATAGTTGTTTTCGTCGTCAAAAAAAGTCGAAATAAATATATATATAAGAAGAAAATAATTTACTTTATATTCTGATTATTTACATTATGGAATTGTTTTCTGAGATCAAAAACACATAACAAACATTTTTTATCGTTACTCACTTATTTCTTAAGTTAGAACCGTTATTTTTACACCATAAGTGCACTTTTTATTGATTGAATTCGCTCAAACAGTTGCAAAAATACATTGATAGGAAAAATGACGCGAACTTTTTTGCCATATATTATTATTTCTCCTCCAGTTAATTTTCAATTAATCATCATGCTCATTGATGAACAAGGAACTATTGTATCCAATCATGAGCAAATAATATATATACCTGCTCATGATTGTTATACAAAATTTAACATCTACTTACTTTATTCACATCGTCCCAAACATTCATCGATAAATTATTCGATTCGTATTGATCTTTTCGACAAGTCAACATTAGATTATTGGACAAGTTGGTATTTATCAATTCCATTTCAGTTTCTTCCTGTTAATCGAATATCGACTCAGTTAATCATTCTTGAAGTACGAGAAAATAAATTGTGTACACTGTCGTGTGGAGAACATGGTCAGTGTATGAAATACACAAATATGAACAATTCATTTTTTTGTCGATGTGATCAAGGATATTCTGGTACTTTCTGTAATATAACACATCAATGTCAATGTTCAAAAGACTCATTCTGTCTTGCTTCATCTATCTGTGTGTGTCCATTGAACAAGTTCGGCTCACTTTGTTATTTGAAAAGGCCAATATGCCAATCAATTAACAATCCATGTCAACATAATGGACTTTGTATAGCAATTGATGATCGCATTGATTTGCATGGATTTATTTGTGTTTGTAAAGAAGGGTATCAATGTACACGATATCAATATAACAGCAATCAAATAGATATTCATATAGATGAGACAATACTAACAATAATTTCATCATTCATTCTACATTACATAATAGCATATGATAGATTAACAAAACATGAACCAATAACTACACTAAAAAAAGATTGTTTTCGGTTACAATACTATGACCATTTATGTACGACAACCATTTAACATTCTTTTCATGCAAATACCCGATGGTAATTATTATCTAACAGTATTAAGAGAAAGTTCTATACCATCAGAATCTATTCGTACTACAATATCATCAAAAAATCGTTGTTATCCTGTTTTTGATCTTTTTAATGATACTTTTCGTCAGTATGAATATCTACGTCAGGTGAAATATTGTTCACTTTTATGTCGTCAAGATCCACAGTTGATGTGCTTTTATGATAAATACTACATGTGTATATGTGATAGTTATCGGTTTTCAAATTGTTTCGAATTTAGTAATACAATGAAATATGATTGTAGTGCAAACAATGTTTGTTATAATGATGGTCGATGTTTTCTAAACAATGAAACATGTTCAACAACATTTATGTGTGTGTGTGTGTAATGATTGTTACCATGGAAGACAATGTCAATTTTCAACAAAAGATTTCATTTTTTCACTTGATCCAATTCTTGGATATCATATTAAACCAAGTATTTCAATTCATCAATAGCCATTTATTGTCAAATTCAGCATTATTATTACTACAATTATGTTGATTTCAGAAATAATCATGGGTTCATTGTCTATAGCAGCATTTCAAATGAAAAACTCAAGAGAAGTCGGTTGTGGTTATTATCTTCTTGTATCATCGATTAATTCAATGTGTATGATTATTTTATTAGCAATTAAATTTTGGCAACTTGTTCTTTCACAAATGTCAATCATAACTAATAGATCAATATTCTCTGTTAATTGTATTTCAATTGAACTAATTCTTAAATCTTGTTTAGTATCAAGTGAATGACTTAATGTTTGTGTAGCTATTGAAAGAATGTTTAATGCCATCAAAGGTGTGACATTTAACAAAAAAAAAGAGTAGGATAATAGCTAAACGAGTGACTTTTGGTGTTATTATTTTAACGATACTGTCACATATTCATGATCCAAGTCATCGGCAAATAATTGATGATTTAGACGGAGATCAACAACGAATATGGTGTTTATCTCACAATTCATCTACAGTAACTAAACACAACACATTTATTGCTCTCCTTCGTTTTCTTATTCCGTTTTTCATCAATTTGATATCTGCTTTAGTACTTATTACAATAGCAGCTTATAATCGTTTTAAGGTAGAATTAAAACAATCATTCATGCAACAGTTTCAATTGAAACTTAAAAAACACAAAGACATAATAATTACACCTAGTATTTTGTTAATATTAGGTTTAACACGTCTTATTAGTTCATTCACATTGGGATGTATGGAGTCACCACGTCAATATTGGTTATATCTAATTGGCTATTTTGCAGCCTTTGTATCATCAATATTAACATTGTTTGTGTTTGTTTTACCATCGAAAATATACAGAAGTGAACTAAATAAAACAGTACAACAATGGACTTGACGACTTCGTCGAAGACCTTGATCTATTTCATATGATATTCTAACAGACAAATATTATAATTAATCATGCTTCTATTGCATTTTTCAACATTATAGACATATATCATAATCTATCGTTCTCTACTTTTATCAGTTAATCTTACTTTTCAGATGTGTAAGATAAAAATATGAAATTATTGAATTAGCTTGATTTTAATTATTTCATCAAAACATCTCATGATTGTTTTTTGGTCGAAGATAAGCCAGCACTGTAATTGTCAACTATTATATTTTAATCCTGTTGGTAAAATATAAAATTATTACATTCTCTAACTAGTCGAACAAAAAATATGTCAAGAGAAAATGGAAAAAAGTAGACTGAAATGTTCTTGAAAAGATACATTCATGTAAAATACGGGCGTCACTTTAACCTTATTTTAATTTAAAAAGTAAAGTAAAGTAAAGTGATGAATTTAAGTTGTGTTGTAAAACTAGGCTGAAGTATAATTTGATAAAGTAGAGCATGTACTTCATTATTATTGATTCATTATTGCATTATCATGTATGATTGGCATTCTAACATGTCAAAAGTGGTTCCAGAAAGTCTGACACTATTTTGTTAGACTGAGAAGCACCATTGAGCCCTGTTTTTTTTTTCTTATCTTCATTTTGTATTTTATCACAGACCAGTTTCTGATACCCGAAGAGGTTCTCAGGTATCGAAAAAGTTTTTGTCGGCATTCTATGAAGGCACTGAAATACAATTTTTCATCTGAAAGTTTATCAAAATCCGAATTAAAGTGGTCGAAAATAGATTCATTCAATGCAGAATTTTTTTCTTCAGTAGAAAATAGAAGAATCTGTTAGAAAATAAAATTTCATCTATTAATAACCACCAAATACTTCCCTGATAGAGTCAAAGTGTCTCGCATGATGATTCTTTCAGTCCTATGAAATTACAGTTTCTTGGAATGAATCGATAAGAGCTCTTTTAAATAAAAAATGGAAC